ACAGAGGGAATTAGAGAGGATTAAAGAGGAGATAAGGAGATTGTTATATGGATAGACATGGAGTCAAATATTCTCCTTTGCTATCATCAAAATGAAGATTTTTTATAGTCACACGAAGATCTTTCTTCCTTGTGTTTTTTCAATTAACTGAAAGGAGCAATGAATGCATCTCATGTAGAGAAAAATCCTTCTTTCTTAGATCACTTTATTACCTATTTTAACACCCAAAAAGGAAAAAAAGTCAAACACAACAGCAAGATTGTCTTTAAACTTGACTGAGGTAACTTTGAGGCCCATTGGTCAGTTTAAAATGAGCATAAACTTTGAATCAGTCAAATGTTACTTGAGGCTGCTTAAGCCTAACTCACAGAGCAACAAAACAAATCCGAGCAAACTGATCTGCTGCACAGAAAACTGGTGTCTGCTCAAAAACAAAAACAAAAATCAAATTTAGTGATGAATGAAGGAAGACTGAAGACAGTGTGTTTTAGCAGTTCTGCTGTTGAGTTTTTTTTACCAGCAAGTTGCTTTTATTGTTTTGGTTGTTAGTTTTGCTCGGTTGTGAGGCTTAAGAATCACATCAATTTTAAGATTAAGTTTGTGTCTGTAAGTTTTTATCCCCTTTTTTAACAGAAAGAACGCTTAGTTTAAAAAAAAAAAAACTCTCATCGTTAACTTAACAGTATGACCTTTTTATAATAAATACTAGGTCCAGATGGCCTTGAACACATGAAGGGTTTTTCCTGTTCCAAGATATACTTCAGAATCCTCCGATCTGGTCTGATAAACTCCTCAGTTATAAGGAAAACATCCATTTTAAGAACTCATAGAAATCTGTGTACTTTAATGGCAGTATTGAACTGCTTACTGTGCAGTCTCCACGATCATAGAATCATCAGAAAAAAACATTGATGAGTGAGAGCTACAGGCATTTCCACGTACAGCTCAGTAACGCCTGACTCTTCTTCATGACCGTAAAAGTCCCCCCGCTGCTAGCCATTAGAGAAAAAGCCCCTTTTCTAAGGCCGCCCGTGCCATACCTGCAATCTGCATCCGGTTTGTACGCGTAAATGAGCCAATGGGCCGGGACCTGGTTGTTCCTGTCAGCGTGCATCACGACCAGCTCGCCGAAGGCTCTAAATAGATTCCAGTGTGCTAACAGCCTCGCTGACCATTTAGCGTGGGCCAGAGAGGTTTCGCTAAGATAAACATTTAGGAGAGAGGAAGATGAAGAAGGAGACAGCGGCAAAGAAAGAGTGATTGCGGTGAACGGAGGGAAGAGGCAAACGGGCAGGAGAGGAGAACGACCGGCTCAGAGCTTCATCAGATAAATGTCTCCCCTGTTTTTCCACCATACTTCCATCTTTCCTCAACTGTAGTTAATTTTCTCCCCCTCTGACTCTTCATCCCTCACCCCCAACCACCTCCTAGTCCTCTGCCTCTTCTTCTTCTACCTGTCCTTTCCTCCCACCTCCTCCTCTATCAATCTCTTTCTCCTCTCTCCTGCTCCCTCCCTCCATCTCTATCCCTCTCTGCAGTTAAGTCAGTGTAATGTAAATGATGTGCCATCGATCGCCTCTGACAGTGCAAGGACGCTCACCTCTCCTCCTCCTCCTCATCCTCTTCATCGTCTTGTCATCTCTCTCTTTCTTTTTCACACCCCTCCTTTATTCCATCTCTCTCTCCTGCTGCTCTTTCCTCCACCTCCCATCTTTTATCTCTCTCTCTCCCCATCTTCCCGTGTCTGTCTACCTCGTTCAGCCACTGCCTCCCACGCCTGTCATCTTTCATCCGTCCCTCTCCCTTCATTTTCCTCCCTTCTCTCTCTTTCGCCGGCCATCATTTATGCCCCTCTCTTCCTCCATTGTTCTTTCAGAGCATCTGCTCTCTCTCCATACCCCTGCCATCTTTTATCGCAGCCTCTCTTCATCTCTCCCCCTGTCTTTCCTTCCATCTCTCTTTGCTGTCTTTGCAGGCCATCTTTCGCCTCACTTAAAAGAACGCAGACCACCACTACAGTTTCAAATCACCTGCAGCATTAGAAAGGATGCTCTACAAACTCTGGAGGCCTCACGTCCACCGATTCTTTTGAAAAGAAACATCAGTGTACAGATTCTTATCTTTACACCGTGTACATTTTAACGGAAAGGAAAACAAGGCAGCATTTTCACTGTAATTAAGGTGGTAAAAATGTAATCAGACTCAGTGATGCTAGCAGATAGAGTTTTTTTTTGTGGAATTTTGATTTCAGGCCATGTGTATTCTCTGTTTTGTGCATGAACTGGAACAACTAATATTAATTTACGCATTTGCTTGATGATGATTGCACTTGTTTTAGTCGGTGAAGTGAGATCAGCATTGATACAATTAGGAGCCTTAATGGTGGTTTTGGTTTAAGTAGTTTACAGCTTCTTTTGATCTCTTTATAGTTAGAGATTAGTTATTCAGAGTTCCCTGTTTTCACTCTAAATCAGAGATTCTAGATAGGTTATAAACATAAGTTACAATAAAAGAGCTCTAACGAATGAGCTGTCAGAAGACGATGAAACACTGTCATTATCTGGGTGTTAAAACTGGTGATGATCTTTTAAAGTGACAAGTCTCCACCCACTAGTTCATTTGAAATCGAGTGTCACTCTGCTCAAATAAAATCCTGATTTCATAACTGCAGAACCGTATGACAAATCACCTCTCCAGAGTCTAAAGACCACCTCTATGCAGCAAACTCCCCGTCAGACTGCTGCATGTACAATGATCTCACAGAGAAAGGAGGGAAAAAAGAACGTTTTGAACATTTCATTGAAACTCTAAAGAATAAGTTAACTCCTGAGGCAAGAACAACACACTCATGTTTTCTAGGCCGTGAATGTGCAACAATGCTTTCCCACTTCAGGCCCAATGTGTTACTTTGTGTCAAAGACAAGCAGAGAATAAAAAGAATATCAAACACCTACAAATTAGACATGGCTTATGGAAAGCAAACCTAATTTGCAGTTGAAAGAACTCCATTAACATTTTTAAAGATCTCCCTTTGACAAGTGTAACCTGTGGTTACCAACGTGTTATTCCCAGAAACACACATCTAATTTTTTTTTAAAGAATGACTTTTTAAAAAAGCCAAAACAACAAAGATATAAGATCAAACTCCAACCAAGAGGTTACTGAGTGCTATGCATTTATTGATTAAAAAGATCAGCACTGCTGTTTCTTTTTCTTTCCTTTTTAGTCAAGGTTCAATTTATATTTTTCCGATTTGTGAGTGGTTAAAAATATTTGCACAAACGCAAAATGCTGCATTCAAGCAAGTCACAGTGAGGTCCTGTGATGCTCCGCATGCCTGCTCTGTCCTCTGGAAGCAGCGGAGAAACAAGTGGGAGCTGTGATTGTGACTAATGTGAAGGAAATAAAATTAAAGCCTTCTCATCTGTTTTACTGTCTTGCACAGCAGCAAATTCACATTCCTCACTGTCATCTTTTCAAAGATCTCCACTGGGAATTGAACCATTGGACAAAACATCCATTATGTCGTGTTTGCCAAAATGCAAATCAAGTTCTTGCTCTTTGCTGGTGGAGAGCAAAAACTGGTGACTTCATTCGGTACCAACAGAAATTCAAGTTAATGTGCATATTTTTTTATTAGATAGGATGGCTCCACTGTGGTGCTTATATGAGTATTTGGCTCAGAAACATCTATGCATGTATTACTTTTTTTTTAGAATAGTGAACAGGGCTGTGGTGCAGCACTCCTGGATCGGGGGGCCTTTCTGTTCAGAGTTCTCGCTGGGTACTCTGGCTTCCTTCCACCACCCTAAAACATGCATGTTAGGTTAATTGCTGTCTCTAAGCTGACTGTAGGTGTTAGTGTGAGCATGCAGCGTTGTCTGTCGGTTGTCTCGGTGTGGCCCTGTGAAGGACTGTCGACCCGACCAGGGAGCAGCCCACCTCTCATCCAATGACAGCTGTGGCTGGGCTCCACCCCCCGTGAGCCTATACGTCCAATAAACTGGGATGAAAAAAATGGATGGGTGTAGTCTAACTAGTAAAATATATATATATATTACATTGTTTTTAAAAAAATCTATGTGGAGAATAAAAATGTTGATTATCGAAAATGTTACGGGATGCTTTAAAGTTCTGAAGAATATCCATTACACAAATAATCAAATGTATACAGACAAATATTGTGTCTTTGCCCCAAACTTTGCTCCTCCTCTTAGCACCTATGTCTTTGTTTTATGTGGATAAAAGTTCTCTTTCAAGAGGTGGTGGCTCGCCTCTCAGTTTAAACGCAGTACCCAGACAAAGACATAATTGCTCACTACTGCCTGACCTGAAAAAGAAATGTGACCTCTACCACATATTGCATCCAAAACGGAGGATTAAGGCTGAGTGGGGGCGAGTTGTTGTGTCAAATGATCTTCAATTTCATCTTATGGGTGACAAAATAATCATATTTTAATATTTGTAATTGCAAAACATCGAAGAAGAACAAAACATTAAATCAATTGTATTCATTTTATCATTACTGTCATTATCTTTTAAAAGAAAAAAAAATCTAATTAAAATATATTGCGGATTGAGGTGTTCATAACCAGGTTCAGGTATTTTTTTGTAACCAGTTTTCTACCACATGTTGGATCAGTCTGCATCTGGCCAAGTGTGGCGTCCTTTTAACTCTTCTCCTCTCTCTCATCCTATCTTGTCCTCTTTTGTTACCGTCCTTCTTTTGCTGCACACCTTCGTTTCATTCTCCTTATCCAGATAGAGGACGTAGACAATCCAATAAACACCCCCGCACTCAACAGCTGGAGTGTGTGTGTGTGTGTGTGTGTGTGTGTGTCAGAGAAGCACAGAGTCAGCAGAAAACTGGGATGACACTCTGAGAGCCGGACAGGAATGTCACCGAAAAAAGAGAGATGAAGAAATAAAGAAGGAGAGAAAGGAAGGAGAGGGGGAAGAAAAAAGACAGATGGGACAGAGAGAGGAGGGGAAGAAGGGAGAAGGAAAAACTCTGGGGACTCAGAATGACACATGCAGTATTACTCACCATCCCCATACATCACACACAAACACACACGTGCAGACGCACGTCGATACACACTCCAGCTCATTCTCTTGTGCACAAACAGACACACAAGGACACCAAAAGACAAACACTCTGACTTTCTCCTTCTGTCCCCCCAACAGCAGCTTTTTCCCACCTAAAAATATGTCTCTGATAAACTGTGTCCATTGGAGACAAACAAGGACGGAACTTTGTGTTTGAAGTGATAACTCCAAGGCCAATCATCCTACTGTGCAGCTACAGTGGCGCAGAGAACAAAAAGAGGTCAAACAAAATATGCTGTCTTCAAAAAGACTGAAACAATTACAAGACAAATAAGACCACCGTGAAGAGGCTCCGGACTGCAGAGGAAAAAAACAGCTGCAAACAGCCGTGGGTCAACAAAAAGACACAGAAAAACAGTAGAAGTTTGATCCAGCAAAAACTGCTAACATTAACTCCATGTTAAGAAATAAAAACAGACACATGCAAACTCCACACTGAAAGGTGCCTGACCACACCAACATCCCAGTTAACTACTGCAAAGTGGCAAAAAAGAGCACAAACATTAAAAGAAAAGCATTTTTTTTTAAAGACACTGAATTGAAACATATTTACATAAACAACAAAGCAACAAAAATGGCCCAAACGGCAAACAGCTTAATACAGAAAAGAACACCAGAATAAGAACAACCTAAAGGCCTGTAAAACACCCACAATCTCTTTCACACCCCAAAGAGGATACACTGATGCCATGCCAACGTACATTCGGATGATATTCACCAGGTTCGTTTGCACTGGAAAGTTGCCAGTGTCATGATGTGCTCCATCAAATAACCAACCACAAGTTTCTCAGCCAACTGACGATGTGGCCGTTGCTGTGACCCACGCCCACCTGCTACAGCACTCCTGCCCTGTGTGTTTCCTGGACGCAGTTTGAAACTGGCCATCCCTCCACAGAAGCCTCCTTTACTTTGAGTCAATGCTTTAAAACTGCATGACTGCATAGGAAAGTGGCAGCATCTGCCTTGTTTGACCAAAAACTAACCTTTGACATGCGATAATCAAAAAACTTTGAGTTAAAGTAAACATAATCCACACCAGATAGGGACAGGGGAGCACCACCCAGTTGCTTGGCAACAAAATTAGGAAGT